ATGGCTCGAGCGTTGTCCAGGGTCGTCATGCTTCTGATTGGAAGACTGTGGGCGGCCCTCTCTGGTGGAAGGGAGCTGAAGCTTCCGCCGACGCTGTCCCTTGGGTTTGTTGGAAGGGCAACACTTGTCATAGTGGCCCAGACGACCGCACACATTGCACTGGACGCGTTTGGCTGGGCACCGTACTGTGAGTGACCAGTGGCCCTTACGGTCACAACTGTTGCATGTAGACTCAGCAGCTGGACACACCTGTGTTCCGTGCTGCTTACCACAGTTGTTACAAAATGAACCGGGCGTGGACGTGGTGGGCGAAGGCGTAGGAGCAGACTTCTTGTCCTTCTTGTACCGGGACACAGCGCGTACAGCTGTAGGGGGAGCTCGGATGGCAGAGGTGGCACACCTGGCAGCCTCATAGGAGCGACATATCGTCAACACATCGTTGAGAGAAGAGGAAGAGTCGAGGGAGGTGAGGGGTTGGACAAGTTCCTCGTCCTTAACACCCATCAGGATTACCTGCTTCAACTGGGTCTCCTCGCACTGCTGGTGGTTGCCTAAACATATATCTACCTCTTCCGAGGCTCCCTTAAGACGTACATAAAAGGCGTCAAAAGACTCACCCTCCATCTGTCTGCAGCTAAACAATTCCCTCCTGCACAGAGCTTCATTCTGCTGTCCTTTGATGTGCCGTTGTAGAATGTCCAGTACCTCCTCTACAGACAACGAAGAGGTCGGAGGTACCTGCAACGTATGTTCTAAGACACGCTGAACTTCCAAGGACAGGCACATACGCAGCTGGATGAGATGTTTAGGCTGTGACAAACTCTGGAGATCCACCATTGTAGAATAATCAGTCCACCGTCGCCGCCATTCACGAAAAGTCTGGAAATTCACATCAGGCTTCAAGATGGGCGGTGTTTGAGCAGCTGCTTTAGGTGGGGCTGGGGGGCGTGAAGGAAGCATTGATGAGGTATCTGAACCAGTCAGTACCGAGGCAGTGTTAGAGCCAGGGGCTTGGTTAACAGTGAGGCGAGATATCAAAGCTTCAAACCGTGCACTGTCTTCCAATCTCCGTTGGTGGTCTCGTTCTGCCTCTGCTTGCCCTCTGTGTTCATCCGCCACACGTCTGTTAGCTTCATCCTCGCGCCTTTCATCTCTCATAAACTTCATTAAAGCAATTATCTCTGGAGACAACGCTGAATATTGAGGTGAAGGGCTGCGCGATGTTGTGGGAGCTGGAGCGTCGTGGTCGGCCATGTCATCCATCTCTGCGGGGCTATCATCCACCTGACTCATCCATACGCTGGGTCCACGGCTACGTAAGGCATGAGACATAACTACTTCATCTGTGTACTGTGTCTTAAATCAGTGTTGACCGGTCAGCCCGTCGTATCAACAAGATTTCAGACAAAAAAATTAATTAAATACACAGATAAGTAGGTTAAATATATAAAATATATATAAGAGAGCCGCGCGGTCAGCGAGTGTTAGTACATGTATGTGTGTGTGTGTCCCGGGCAGGAGCGTCTCGCCTCAGCTGTGAGGGGGTGTGGAGGCGACGCTGTGAGGGGGGGGGTTGGAGACGGCGAGGAGCTCAGTCACCTTCTGGACGCGGTCAGAGAAGGGTGCACTGAACTCTACTCCCCACAAATGCCCAGAACATGCCATATACCTTGGGAATCCTTTAAAACAAGGTCACACATGAATGGCACGAAACACACAATGCACTAAACACTTCACAGAAAATCACTGTCACTGACACTGCTCAAAGTTGCTAAATTCTTCGAGGACGGGTGGCGCGGCGGTTGACACAGGGCAGGAGTCCATAAGCCGGCTTTCCACAAACTTTGCACTATCACTCGTAATTATCCAGTAAGATTACGCACTGCGCCATGTTAGGTTCTGGATAATAAGTTCAATATACAGGAGAGAACATAAACACCTGTATAGATTTGTAGGTTCGATTTACTGGATCAGAGATATGTACACAAGGGGAGTAGCGCTCCTCAGCTTGGCTGCCTGTCAACTGCTATAGACGACGTATGGCAAGTGAGACATTAGCAGCTTCCATACGTCGCCAGGCACATTAATTAAGCATGTGGGATATGGTAATAACATTGCCACACGCTGCTAGCTAGGCTGAATAAATAATACATAAATGGAGCACATACGTAATATACATACATAATATATAATCCAGCATACATAATATACATACAGTATCTAACCCAATTCATTATTATTCTATGATGATGTACCTAACCCCATTTATTATTATATGATATGATGTATGTAAAACCATTTATTATTATGATATGACATGATGTACCTAACCCCATGTGTTACTATCTTTTTTTGGTGCTATTATGTTATGATATATGTATCCCAATATATTTTATTATGAAGGTATGTCACATTCTAGTTGTATGTTAACAGATTTCCATTTCTTTTGCCCAATTCTGACCACCGGTAGGGAATTATTTTTCTATTTTTATTGATATAATATGTGCAATGTTTTGTATGAGGATTTATACTTTATATTAATCATTTAATGTGTATGTTACTACTTAAGTGTTTTCTGAAAGTTACCGCATAATATAAATCTTGGGGAAGGGGGAAGCTTTGTCATGATCGTGATGACGGCTAACCTGAAAACCTTAAGGATTCATATTACGCTCAAACGTCCACAAAACCTTCCGAGTCCCCCAGTGGAAACGTCCCCCGTTTTCTCTGTTCCTGGGTGACGTCACCGATAGGCCGTCTTTGTTTGTAGGGAACTTTGAATATAATATGAGGATTTAGTAGCAGACGCTGTATGTTGGGACCTGTTGCCATCCAACCCTTTGTAATCAATTTAATTTTGCTTTTGATAGCTGAGTCAGAGCATTGTTAGTGAGGATAATAGTAGGGAATGAAACTGAGTTCATAGTCTCAGTTTCAACGTCAGAGTGTACAGTAAATTAATTCATCGAAATAGAAGTAGGTGGACTCCCTGGCCTATTTTGAGTGGGTGCCGCTGGCATTTCTACCGTTAGTAAATGCCCGTTCCTTCATCCATACAGGTCCCTAACGCAGCCTAGGCCGTGTCTGTAGCGTGGATGTTGTATCCACTATGTCTTTGGAGATGTCCGAGGTCCAGTAGGATCAGTTACCTTTGTGAGACCCGGCCGTCAGACACTTCAGACTACCTATGGCCCCCATAGCTGGCTCGTCTGGGCCTAACGCTAGGCCTGCGAGGTGACCCCGGATCACCAAGCCACACACCACTACCAGCCCCCATCATTGGTGGATGAGAGTCTAACTCAGTAGGGCTATTTGTGTGGTGTAGTTAATCCACTGGGATCTTCAGAGTTCGTCGGAAAGTTCTCCATGGTGGCTGGACCCCATGGCTGTTGCTTGCGTATCACTCCTGACGACTGAGTGTTGTAGTGGCAGTTGCCCTGGTCTTTATGGTGCTAAGTGACTATAAGAGTTATGTGTTATTGAGCATGTCCACCCAGTAGGGTTGTGAGTGTTATTGAGTATATCCACCCAGTAATGGTGTGAGTATGTTGAGCCTGAGGGCATTGTACCCGATTTCGTCTGTTGGTACATATATACTCTTTCTCCTACTTCCATATTAATGTTTAAATAAATTTTGTATTTGTATATTGTGTCTATTATTTACCTACAGTATTCACCGTTATTTCTTCCCTATTACTTGTTACTATCATTACATCTACCCACGAGCCTCCTCTCGTCGCGCTACCAATGGTAATAAGTATGAGCGCAAAAGGAATTGTTAGTGACACAGAGGCCCTTATAAAATGGTGGCAGCTCAGGCTCTCATAACATTCCACTAAAATCACAAATGAAGTTTATTGCATGGCTTTTGGAACCATTTCCACTGAAGGCCAATGACGATCTTTTGGTTCTTAACAGAGAAACTTAAATAACAGTAGTTTCAGAAGATTATTTGTTAATTGCTGTGACTAACCATGAAGTCCTAAATCATTGTAAGTCAACATACTTACACTTACATGTATGTCCTGCCTATGTTTTTGCTTTCACCTGGGATGTGGAAGTTATTTGTGAACTAGCTATAAAACAAACTATTGCTTCTACAGCTCTGTGTAATACTCATCTGTCAAGCTCAGTAAACATTTAGTTGTTGAAGGTTATCATATAGCACCAGACTATTGTGAGCTCAGCAGTAATTCAATCACAACCTTGACCTACGCGCCATCATCTTGCATTTGTATCAAACATTACTTCTGAACTAGTACTCATACCATTTTTACTGAATATAAATTTCAGCAGCCTTCACATATTCTCTGATAAGCTTAAACTTCTGTCTTACATTAATGACACACAGTTTCCTGCAGTGCAGGATTCTCTTCCCTTTTATTTTTCTTCCGGAGTAATCCTACCTGGTTTCATCATACTTGCCTTTAGATTTGTCATTTCCTTGACTGTTATGATAATTTGATTCAGGATAATGTCCTCTAGGTACACACTAGTTTCCCAAAAAACTCTCCAAAAGGCACTAACAGAGCATGTGCAAGATGAAACAGTTTAGCTAAAGCACATGTTATCGCCGCTGGTGTTTATCACTGGTGTCAGTGCTGACGTTTTGCTGCCTTACCCGAACAAAACATTACATCTCAGCCTGCGACCACGTGCCTCAACCTCCCCCACGCGGCCAGTTAACACGCCAGATGTGGCGGCTGGAGAAGTGTTCCAGGGTGTCATCACCACTGGCGTGAGTGCTGAGAGGGTGCATGACGCAGATCACCCTCTTGAGTGATGCCCCCCCCCCAACCACGCGACCTGTTACCTTGACAGATGTGGCGGCTGGGGAGGGGGGGTGGGGGGGTGTTTACCACAGGGAGTGTTAACCCAAGGGGAACAATGTAACACCACAGAAGTAAATCTGGTAGTAAAAGGCATTAACACCCGGAGAGCGAAGTGCCCAATATCCCTTCCTAAGATACTAGTACTTGACAAACTGCAACCTTCTTTAGAAAACTTAACAGCTGCAGCCCTAGACATAGATGCTTGGGGACATCTTCGAGGACTTGTTCCACTTCCACCAAACAGACGAGTCGCAGAGTTACTAATTGGACAAGATTGCCCAGATGCCTTGACTCCCCTTGAGTGTGGGACACGGCCGGATGGAGCACCTTTTGCAATAAAGACAAGATTGGGTTGGACAATTAATGGGCCCCTGATGGGCAATTTAACTCACAGGTTTACAACGGAATGTTCCATGCTGACCGCCTCTACCGAAAAAACTCGATTGGAAGAACAAGTGAGGCGCTTCTGGGAAATTAAAGCATTACACCAGACCCCGGGAGATGGCTCCCTGTCATCAGTGGAGGATAAACGGGTCATCCAGCTTTGGTCGTCGACTGGACAGAGAGTGGAGGGACACTCCCAATTCCCAATTCCATTCCGGCGTCAACCGCCCTGTCTACCTGACAACAGAGCGCTCGCCAAGCGTTGCCCACTGGGACTAAAGAAACGCCTATCGAGGGACACAAGGTTGAGACTCTGGTACAAGGAGGAGATGGAAAAGTTATTCATCGGAGGCTTCGCCGAAAGGGTGCCACTAAAGCAATTATCGGAGTCCGTTGGAAGTAGCTGGTACCTGCCTCATCACCCAGTACTAAACCCCAACAAACCAGACAAGGTACGGATAGTCTTCGATTGTGCAGCATCCTTCTCGAAGACTTCACTCAACAATCAAGTGCTCCAAGGATCAGACTTCAACAACAAATTGATTGGAGTACTCATGTGGTTCAGACAAGAGCCGATCGCCCTGATGGCCGACATCGAAGAAATGTTCCATCAAGTGAAGGTAAATCCAGAGTACAGAGACGCTTTACGATTCCTCTGGTGGGAAGGTGGGATTTGACACAAACGCCAATGACATGTAGGATGACAGTGCATCTCTTTCGAGGAGTGTGGAGTCCCTCGTGCGCGGCCTATGCTTTGCAATGGACCTTCCAAGACTTCAGAGATGGGTTCTCGGATGCCGCAAATAGAGCGAAATCAAACTTCTATGATGACGACCTGCTCCTGTCAGTAACTGAACCAAAAGAAGCAATTATGATATCTCGGCAGTTGCGGCATCTTTTATCCCTGGGAGGTTTCAAACTCACAAAATGGATCAGCAACGACAAAGAGGTCCTCAACACGATACCATTTGAAAGTCGACATGCTGGAGTGAAGGAAGTGAACCTGGGATGTGAAGACCTACCCACGGAGAGAGCCTTGGGATTCATGTAGGACCTAAATGGAGACCAGTTTGCAGCAAAGGTTCAGGTTCCCACCCGCCCGGCGACAAAAAGGGTCTTACTAGCAGTGGTAAGCTCGGTGTACGACCCTCTAGGATTCATCTGCCCTTTCACCATCAAAGCCAAGCTCATTTTCCAAGACGAATGCAGGCGGAAGAAGGACTCGGACGAAGACATCACTGAGCAAAGCCTTCACAAGTGGTTGCGCTGGCTTGAAGATTTGAAATCACTGAGAAACGTCAAAGTTCCTCGCTGCTACAGACCCGGTGGACTGGGTTGTGCCACCTCATCGCAACTCCATCACTTCTGTGGCGCCTCACAAGTGGCCTATGCAGTTGTAACGTACCTACGGACAGTAGATAATGAAGGTGATGCCAGATGTTCTTTCGTTTGTGGCAAGGCTCGTCTGGCCCCTCTCAAACAGCTAACGGTCCCAAGGCTAGAACTCTGTGCAGCAGTCCTTGCGACAAGAGCAGACCAGGCAATCAAGCGTGAAATTGGAGTCCCACTTGAAGAATCCTTGTTCTGGACGGACAGTATGATTGTGGTCAAGTACATCGCCAACCTAGAGAAACGTTTCTATACCTTCGTTGCCAACAGGATCTCAGCTATACATGAAGTCACGGAGAAGGCCCAATGGAGACATGTACGATCAAGATGGAATCCAGCAGATGATGCTACAAGAGGCATACCTGTTGAAGACATGTTAAAGGAATGCAGATGGATTGATGGTCCCTCTTTTTGTCTCTACCTGAGGAGTACTGGCCCAGAGAACCGGAAATCAGACACGAACTTGAGAATGATCCCGAAGTTAAGCTCGAGGCGGTGTCATTAGCCACAGCAGGAAATAATGCCGATGCCATCATGCAACTGCTATGGAGCAGATACTTATCATGGCATGCGCTGCAGAGAGGTGTATCCTGGAGCAGGCGAGTATCCAGCATCCTGAGATACGACTTTCAGGGTGCAACATCGAAGCCACTGCAATTGCCTGAACTGCTGAATTCTAAGTGGGCCATCATTCAGTTCCTGCAAAAGAGGCCTATGGTGAGGAGATGAGCCTCCTGCAGCACCGACAGCTGCAACGACAAAGTCGACTGTACCGACTAGAGCTATACCTAGGCCAAAACGGGCTGCTCAGAGTAGGAGGAAGGTTGCAAGATGCCAAAGAAAGAACTGGACCAGTACTACTGCCCAGAGACCACCCAATGACCAAACTTATAGTGCGGGAAGCACACATTGTGGGCGCTGGCCATTCCGGGAGAGAACATACACTGTCTATTCTCCGGTGTGAGTTCTGGATAGCCCG